GTATGGTATGGAAGAAAATGAAGAGAAAAGCAAATATACAAGCATTTAGTAATTATAGACTATCTGAAATCAGTTTACTTATTAAATGAATCCCAGCACTCAAGCACCTCTTCAATGAAACAATAAGACCCTGCATGAAACAAAGAGATTTACTTCTTTAGAGCAATCCCATATTGCCACTAACTCCCTGTGAGGAGGGTATTACCTTCAACTTTGTACATAAATAGTTTCTGCCTTGTGTGATGATGTGCTGAAGCTCTAGTGAGTTTGTAGGAAGATTTTTATCAGGATGAACAGCATAGAAGGTTGCACTATATTGTTATGAGTTAAACATGGGGAAACCCGTTTTCCACCTTGATTTTGTCATTTTGCAGAAGACAAGAAAATAATTTTGAATTCAAAATGTTTTATTCCTGTTGTCTCTGTAGTGCTTCTCAAAAGAGAACTCTGCACAGTAATGCTGTTTAGCGCATTGGAAGTGGGTGGCTCCTAAACCAGGAGTTTAAACCCATTCCATTAATCAGTCTGAATCAAGTATTGCAATCCATAACAATATAACTAGGAAGTACTTCCTGTTTGCCAGACAATAACCATATCCTGAGCCAAACTCAGTAACCAAAGATTGAGCAGAAAGAAGGCCTGGAAATTATGTTTAATAATAAACTAAAATGTCATAAATTAATCAGAAGTATTCTTTTTCCTCTAGAAGAAATGAGAAGTTGAAGGGATCATGTTCATTGTATGCATAACGATGGTGAATTCTGAGGGAAGCTCTGAAACCCAATGTATGGATTCACATACTTTCTGGTTATCAGAACCAGTGCATAGTTAAAAGCCAGGATGCAGGAATTTACATACTTCACAGTTACAGAAAACCACCAATAAAAATGGCAAATCATTTGTGAGTTGCTCTCAGGTTGGCTGAATGAAATCAACAGTAACTGAGGGAAACTTTATTCACAAGACTCAAGGCTTTACAAAATGTCTTATTACTATGTGGATAAGGCCCCTGTCAGTAATGATTTCAAATAGCCTATGAACACATTTTAATGATCCCAAATCTCCTCCCAGGGGAATAACCTACTTCAGAAACTCTAAGGTTCACTTTGCTCAAATGGCCCTGTGAAGCCATACATCCCCCTTCCTAGGGATCAGTTCATTCCCCATTTAATTCCAAGGGAAATGAATTAGGCCTCAACTGAAGTCAATGGGAATTTTGCCACTGATTTCAATAGGTCCAGAATCAGACACTTAGTTAGGTAAGAGAAGATAAGGAAGAAAACTAGATGTCAATGGAGTTGCATGGATGTAACTGAAAGTAGAATTAGACTTCCCATGTACATAACTCTCTTAGCAACACTGGGAGTTAAGCACAGGAATCTGGAAGAAAGTAAGCTCCACAGCTAAAGAAAAGACAGCAATTCCTGATTCTGGACCTATCGAAATCAGTGGCAAAATTAGGGTGACCAGATGAGAGATGTGAAATATCAGGACGCAGGGTGGGGGAGGGTGTCGATGGAGCAAAAAAAAACCAGCTGGCGGCGGAGGAAAAAACAAAAACAATCAAACAAACAAACAAAACAAACCAAGAGCTGCCAGAGCATAGAAAAAATTGGGGGGGGCTGAGCTCCCACTGGCAGCTCCCCGCCCCCCCTGCACCAGCTCGCCTTCGCTCCGCCTCCACCTCCCCTGAGCTGGGTGCCGCATTCTGCTCCTCCCTCCTCCCTCTAGCGCTTGCGCTGCCATACAGCTGATTAGCGCAAGCCTGGGAGGGAAGGGTGAGGAGGAGGAATGCCGCGTGCTTGGGGAAGAGGTGGGGCCAGGGCAGGGATTTGGGGAGGGATCCAATGGGGCAGTGAGGCGGCGGGACTGGGGGCGGGGCAAGGGCGGGTATGTGGGGAGGGATCCAATGGGGGAGGGAGGGGACGGAGTCGGGGCGGGGCTGGGGCAGAGTTGAGGGGGGGGGGCACGAGCCCCCTCTGCCTGTGCGCCGGGGGGCAAAATATCGGGACAATTCGCGTCCCGAAGGAACATCGGTTGGGACGCGGGACAAACAAGTAAATATTGGGACAGTCCCGATAAAATCGGGACATCTGGTCACCCTAGGCAAAATTCCCATTGACATCAATTGAGGCCTAATCCCTTTCCCTGGGAATTCAGTGGGAAGTGAACTGATCCTTAGGAAGGGGGATGTATGGCTTCACAGGGCCATTTGAGCAAAGTGAACCTTAGAGTTTCTGAAGTAGGTTATTCCCCTGGGAGGAGATTTGGGATCATTAAAATGTGTTCATAGGCAATTTGAAATTAATGCTGACGGGGCCTTATCCACCTCCCAATCTTCACAGAGGACACTTATTGACAATAATGAGAAAGTTCTTTAAGTGCAAAGTGTAATTAGGATAGGCTTTTTTGTTTTGTTTTTTAGAATAGTCTAAATTTTCCTCTTTGATGCATGTAAGGCTCTTATTTAAACCAACAGGAACCATGTACTTGCTTCCGAAAGCAGAATTTGGCCAATAACTCATTGGCCTACCCACAGATGCTGTGCTCCATTGAAAATGGCTCACAAGCACTAGAACATGTATTGTAACAACAGAAATAAAACTTGTCTTCTGCAAAAATGTCTCCAGCACCAGAATATATAGTTTAGCACCAAAAAGGCAGCCTTTATTAGCCATTTGCTCAGTAAATGACATAACAGTGAGTCAAAAATATCACAGGCAGTTATTATAACATGAAGGGCTGCACTGGGTTCTTAATGGCATTGCTGCATCCTTTTAGCTTTTTACTCCTATAACTCTTATAAGTGTCTCTTATTTTAAATCAGTTATTCTTCATCCCTATTTTATTCCTTGTACAGTTTTATAAATATCTGTTTTATATTTAAAGTTGAACAAAAAATATTGTATCCAAAAGGAATATTTTTCCAATGGCCAGTCTACTGTTATAAAAGCACACTGCTATTCTGCTCTGTAGGAAAAAGAGTGCAGGTTTGTAAACCTGTGAAATGGGTGGAATAGTCCCATGGTATTTGGGTTTTTTTGGGTTTCTCTTTTCTCAGCATAGCCCTGTAATGGTGAGGAAATATTATATGGCACCTTTGGTCTTCAGCACAGTACTTTTATTCCAACAGCATTTTGTGTCAGGTAATCAATCAAGCAGCACTGACACGGGCTATCAAGGTAGATGTATGCTGGCATTGTCATTATTCAACTCAAGGGAAAGCTGATGAGAGAAATTGCAGGGATTCAAATAGATAATGCACGTTTATAAAAAATTGAAGGGTAAACTGCATTTGGTTAGTCAAATGTCCAGTTGGCTGTAACCTTCTCTGTTAAATGAAATATGTTAAACTAAATGCTTGCTGCTGGTTTTCTCAGAAGCTGCTCTTATGAAATAGCTTATATCCAGATTATTTCCTGCTGCTGTAAATTACAGTGTGATTATGACAGATATAATTATCCGTAGCACCATTACTGTGTTTTGAAAAAAATCTGCACCCCTGTTTGATAGTAGCAAAGTTTCCTATTACTTATATCTACAGAAAACAGAATATTCCAAATGATCAGCTTATTATTACCAAGTTAAAAAAAGTTACAGATACAATAACATATATACCCGTTATAATACTTTCAGCTGAATTACACAATTATAAATTAATTTACAATTTCTAGTTCTGTTTGGAAAGTGTACCACACAATGTACAAGTTGCAAGTTACAAAGTGCATAGTTATTAAACATTAACCCTAATCCTTAGGCTCTGCAGTTTAGAACTTTTGTTAACATAGTCTCTGCCTGTTATTTTTTATAATTTTTTGCAAATGTAAGGAAATGCAAACATGTAAAATTTTATCTCTTACCCCTTCATCCTCCAAAAACCATCTGTCATGTGGAACAAAAATGCATTTTGCCTCTATATTCCTTAGTCAAAAACTCCCATTGGGTTACAGAACATGGCCTATGTACCACTTAAAACGGAACCTTTCAAATAGAGCCTTAAGTGCTGCACAGAGCTTGTGTTTTCCCTCTGCAAAGGGGTGAATTTCACCCAGTTGGACTATTTGACCAAGTGAGGACTGCAGGACCTCAAGCCTGCTAGGGGGGGAGGGATAGCTCAGTGGTTTGAGCATTGGCCTGCTAAACCCAGGGTTGTAAGTTCAATCCTTGAGGGGGCCACTTAGGGATCTGGGGCAAAATCAGTACTTGGTCCTGCTAGTGAAGGTAGGGGGCTGGACATGATGACCTTTCAAGGTCCCTTCCAGTTCTAGGAGATGGGATATCTCCATTAATTTAATTTAAGCCCATTGTTAACAGTAAGGAAAACCTGTAACATTTAAATTGTTACTAAAATAAAAGTTACAGAAACATCACATGTGGTTTTGGTTTTAAGTTCTCATGCCTAGTGGCATTATATACTTGTCTAATTATTGTCATGTTAGACAAAGGAACGTCAGCCAGAGAGATACTTGAAGAGCTACAGTACAATAAATGACTTTCTCTGAGTTAGTGTCAAATCATAGATATCTGAAGTGTGATAATTCCATTTGCCATGTACCTCACTCATTCAGTCCATATAATTGATCCCTTTGGCAATAGGATTGACTACATGTAAATTATTCCCATATTTGTAATTTTAGTAAAGTTATCGTGTCCTCTGGTGGCAGACTTTCTTAAACAGCCTTGGGAAGACGACATCTTTGCTTTAAAATAAAATGTATATATATATGATTCTGGTGAAGCACATGAACTTCCAAAGCTTATGAACTTCAAAGCTCCCAACATATCTGTGCCAGGCAGAGTGGAAATGTGGGAAATTGTAAACAACTAATCACTTGTATTCCCTGTTCATCATGAGCAAAATTCTGCCTTGTGATATGAAGGAACAACTCTCAGTCACTTCAATGACACTTGCACACATGTATCTGAGGGCAGAATTTGGACCCTGGTCTGTTATGGATACCATTCAAGACAAGCTATCTATACATATATACAGTGTTCTAGTTTCAGCTGTAGTCCCTTTCTCCATAAATTTTCTACTTAGCTCCCACAAGAAGTTTGCTTTTTGGGGGGGAGAATAAATATATTTTTCTTCGCTGGTTTATAAAGATACTTCAGGAAATAGCTTCACCATATTGTTTAAAGGACTCTGTCAACTGTTTTACAGATTCTGTTTTTTTGTTGCACACTGTTAAAAAATCCCCCCCCCCCTTTTTTTAAATAAAAGTTCCCTTTTCACTTTGTACTTTTTATTTGGGATACCCGTTAGTCAAAATTGTGCAACACTTAGGCCTGATTGGAAGTTTTACCTGTAGCACTATTTCAGCTAGGGATGTGATTTTTTTTTTTTACTAACATATTTAACAGGTAAAAGCCCTAGTATGGATCCAGTTATACTTGTATAAAGGTATCTTATGCCAATATAGTTATTCCCCTTCCCATATGGAATAGTTACACTGGTAAAGAGTGCCTTTAAACCAATATAACTGCATCCACATTAATGGGGTTCTACAATGTTAACTATACAGTATAGTTAAAGTGATACAACTTTATAGATTAGACAAAGCTTTAGTCTGGTTGGTGAACACTTGCAGTTCCATCATATTTCTTAGTGGTACAAAGGCCAGCATGGCTCCCTATTCTTTACTTCTCTATCTCCACACAGGCATCATTGATGATAGCAGCAGCCACGTGTGGAACTCTTGAAATACCTTAAGTTAATCACTGTTGTGCATGGGGGAGCTAACATAAGGCTGAATACTGGAGTTCCTCCTGCACATATGTTTACTCTTGCTCAGAGTCCCATTGACTATGCAGGAGTAAGCATAAGTGCAAATGGGAGTAGCCATTTGCAAGATGAGGACAATGTAGGTGTGGAAGGGGGGGGTACTTTTTTTGTACATTTGAACATTTTTCATTTTTAAAGCACTGATGTAGTTGCCAGTGGCCATTATCTATCTATATCTATAATTTCAAAGGGAAGGGTCATATTTTAGACTTAAGTTGACAGTGCCCTTTTAAATTTTCTTTTAATATCAAACAGAACATATTCTTTAGGAAGTTACACTTTCTTAAGATGATATAAGGTTATCCTTCTCTACATGATCATGGCCTGAAATGGAGAATTATAGTTATAAATTCCAAAGAGTTAAAAATGAATCTATACTGTACTCTGAAAGCTAATTATGCAAAAGGATATAAAAAGAAAACAAGGGTATTATTACTATATATATATATAATATGTGCAAAATTCAATATACAAGCTTTTGTTACTCAGCCATATTATTTAAAAATAATGTAAACTTCTGTTAACTTATTTAAACCAATATAAGTAGTTTGATGTTATTCCTGGAAAACAAAGATTGTCAGTACAAGCAGCTCCATAACTAGGAGGGCAAGCGGAACACGGGACTCCTACTTTATATGGTGCTTCTCCAATCCAGTTGCCCCTGAAAATATAAAGTAATACACCTTTTTAGTAACTTAAGAAAACATATCTCTTAATAAGTGCAAACTAAGTTTGGGTGATGTATTGCCTATCATGTATTTATAAAATATTTTCATATTGCATTGGTGACAGACACTATTTTCGGAATGACTTTTGCAACTTTGCTCTCTAGAAAGAGAAAGCAACCAGAGGGCTCTTGTTAATAAGACATTAGTGTCACAGTGTTGTTGCAAAGTTTTAAAACTTTCATTGATTGCATATTTGTAATGTTTATTTTCAAGATGGGAGTGGGTCTTTTGAGGCTCTTGTTACAGGGTTTAGCTGATCAGGGATCCATTTTGCTTGGTATTGAGTGTGAACTCATGTTGGTTTGCTCAAAGGAACTGGGAAAATGAAGGACTCGTCACAATGACACGTAGAAAGAGTGCAGGAACTGTGAGATGGCTGGAAAGTTTCACTGAAAGATGAAGTCGGGGGTCTATTGGGATTTCATGAGGGCCCAGGGATTTGGCTGGAGGTTGTGTGTGCCCAGTTTCTGCTAGAGGACCGAGGGTACATGTAGGTAGCAGGCTGCAGAGGCAATCATGAGGAGTGGGGTAGCCTCAAATGAGGCATCTGAGTAAGCATCCAGACTTCCAGATGCTTATACAAAGCTCTAAACTTTTAGAGATTGACCCATCACTATTGACTCTGGGATTACAGGATGGTCACTGGAGAAAGAAAGCTAAAATGAGATTTCTACTTAAATGTTGCATTTCACTAAGAAAAGAACCTTCTAATACATAAAAAGAAGAACAGGAGGACTTGTGGCACCTTAGAGACTAACAAATTTATTAGAGCATAAGCTTTCGTGGACTACAGCCCACTTCTTCGGATGCATATCTAATAATAAATTTGTTAAATTTGTTGACTAATAAATTTGTTAGTCTCTAAGGTGCCACAAGTCCTCCTGTTCTTCTTTTTGCGGATACAGACTAACACGGCTGCTACTCTGAAACCTTCTAATACATGTGTGATGTGCTACAGCAGTGAGTAATGCAGTTATTTGTGAAGCATTTTCTCATTCCCCCCCTTCCCAGCCAATAAAGATGGATCAAAAAGCCTAACTTCGGGTTGTGTCTTGGAAGAAAGTAGGAGTCTCTCAGATACATTACTCATTCTTACTCCTATTCGAAATGGGCACAGCAGACTGCACAAGCAGGGAAATTTGCTAGCTTGATAACAGATACTGTAATCTAGAGGGAGTGCCACAAGTTGAATGTTGGCTTCATTCACTGTATCATGAGTGATTAATAGAGCTGTAGATTAAGTATATCAGTTAATTAGGTCTAAACCATACACACATTTTTAAACAACCCTTCTTAACACTGTTTCTGAAATCAGAAACTCAAGTAGACAATGTGGACTACCTGGCATATTTTTCAACCAGTTTATAGTAGGGTATACATCAGCTAATAGGAGGTATAGCACTGATATCCTGGGCAGATTCCAATTTGAATACTCTGCACCTCTAAAACCCCTCTAGTTTAAAATGGTTACAGTGTTCTTCACTTCCTGCCCTCAACTATTGTATAGTGCTGTGGTATGTTGTGTAGCTGAGAGGTGCAAACGTCTTAGTGATTAGTGAAGTGAGACCTATATGTAGATATACAGGTCCTGACCTTGAAGTCCTTGCCAAGTTTCATTCATTCTTTTCAGGCAAATTTCCACTGACATCAAAACATGGACCTAGGAATTGTCATGCTAGACCAGAATAGTGGTCCCTGTAATACCAAATCCTTTATCTGATAGGGCCAAATACTAGGGATGAAAATACTGGTCCCACTGACTTCACTGGAGCCAGGAATTCACCCAAAATACTTCAGAGGAAGATGTAAGAAACCCTTTAGTTTATGGGATAACCTGCCTAGAGGGGAAGTTTCTTCCTAGCTCTAGTCAGTGAGTGGTTGGCTTATGCTCTGAAGGATGATAGCTCATGTCTCATTTAAAACACTCTTTTATCTTATCTAGTGTAACTATTGATGTTCTCATTATCCACATAAAAGTTTAACCCTTTTTTAAAATCCTTCTAAGCCTTGGCATCCATATGTAGTGGCAATGAGCTAATAACTTTGATAGAGTAAGGGCCTAGTAAAAACTGAGTTGGGACCTCAGGATTTCTTCTACAGACTGCAAAGTAAGTCAGAATTTTCAGAACAAAAGAAACGAAATGTAACATATCATTATTACAGGGTTAATAATGCATCAAATAATTAATCAAATAATTCAGCAGTTCTCAACAATGCCTCTTATTCATTTGCCATAATTGAATGAAATTAATGATATACCCTAATAATTTTGTAATTACTTTGTGTTTTGTAATTTTTGATACATATATACATATATTATAATGCCTGGGTTGCTATTAAAGAGAGGCTCAAGTTATGATATTTGGAACCTGACTGGGATATCAGTCCAAACATCCCCAAAGTGTGGAGATTGGAGTCAGATCTGGGTTTACTGTCTGATCCCCCTCTAGTTCCTTTGCTACTACTTTTTATATTAATTGTAATAGTAAATATAAAGGACCTGCCTTCCTGTCTCCCAAAATAGAAGTGGTTTCTTCTTTGGAGGTTTTTTCACCAAAATTCACCTGTTTGGGGGTTGCAACTTTTTAAAGAGACAGTTAAAAATTCTCTTCTTATGTATATGGCAGCTGAGATTATTCACACTCATTCACTGCCCTATTCTTTACCACTTATGGATCTGTGACATTTAAAGTTTATCAAACCTGTACAACTCATTATTATTTGTTTGGGTTGTCTTATACAGCACCATGGGCATGCAAGGCCCTTTATAGAAATTTAAGGCCCCAGTCTACAATGGGCCAGCTCATGTCAGTAAGTGCAAATCAACATAAGAATGGATTGCAGAACTGCATTCCCTAACAAGGCAAGGGAGTGAGGAGAAAAAGGTGGGGGAAAAGAGTAATGCAAAGGATGAGCATTACAATAACAAAAGATAAAGAGATGTGCTTTTGTTAAATACACATCTTGTTATTCCCCTGTGGTTTGTTTATATACAAAAGTAGTACATTTTTATATTTCCAATTATTATATTTGTTTGAGGAAGCGGGCCCAGCACAAAAGCATGACAGGAATGCTAGCTGGAAAAAGGGAGTAAACAGTCCTATCAAATAACCCATACATGCATGAAGTATAAAAGTAAACAGAATGAAAAGAAAGCAACTCACTTTGGGGCATAGTTGCATACCAAGTAAACAGCTCGTCGCCAAACAGATCCCCAGACATTCATATTGTGGCATGTGTGGACTGCGCAGCCTATACGATTGGAAGTGGCCCAAACCATCTGAATAAATAATCATTATTCTTTTGGTGAAGTCAACATTGAAAAGAAATATTATTTGCACACACACACACACAAACACACACACACACACACACACACACACACATCACAGAAAAGTCCACTTTTGAACTATAGATTGGTGAAAGAAGAATGGAACTCAGATAACCTGTGTATAATGTGTGCACATGGGTCCATAGCATCTCAGAGGGCATCTAGGGTTGCAGTCCTGAGGATATGGAAAAGCATAGTCTTTCACTTCATCATACCATGGCTTTACCAGCTGAAGAATGGATCGATACCTAGATTAATTTAAAGACATAGGTTGTGGGGGAGGGAAAGTTCATTTTCAAAACTTGTTATCAGGGCCGGCTCTAGACACCAGCAAAACAAGCTGGTGCTTGGGGCGGCACATTTTTGGGGCGGCATGGCCGGCACCAGAATGCCGCCCCTGCTGCCCCTAAAAATGTGCTCCAGCCGCCCTAGCTCACCTCCGCTGCTGCCGCCGCTCGCGCACCGCTGCTCGCCCTCCCTCCCAGGCTCTCAAACCTGGAAGGGAGGGGGAGATCCCGAGTGGCCGCGGCGCGCGAAACAGCTGATTTGTGCGCCGCTGCTCACCCTCCCTCCCAGGCTTGAGAGCCTGGGGGGAGGAGGCAGGGCTGGGGATTTGGGGAAGGGGCAGAGTTGAGGTGGGGTCAGGGGGTGGGGTAAGAAAAAAACGGTGGGGGGGAGCAGCCAAAATTGATTTTGCTTGGGGCGGCAAAAATCCTGAGCTGGCCCTGCTTGTTATGTTAGAACATTTGGCTTGGCATCCATAGTACAGTCCATTCACAAACTGCTATTATGTGGAGACCTGAAATCCTTGGTTACAGTAATATTTACCAATGATTAATTCTCATATTCCTGAATGGAATGAAAATCTTTATAAGCTGTAAACAAATTGAGTTCTTGCCATCGCACTAGCTAAAAGGTTCAGATTGGTGTAGACACCTGCTGTCAGATTGGAAATTGACACCAGCTGAGGATATGGCCCTCAATATTTTTATAAAACAAAAGGTTTTACAAAATGACAACTACCTACCTTCCAGTTCTTACAGACAGGTTTTGGCCCAAAAATCTCAGTAAGTAGGAAGGTCCATGGTCCCAAATGCATGTTGCAGCCCAAGCCTCTGCAGACTTGGCAAGAGTTTCATCCCAAACCTGACAAAGTAAAAAGTCCTTAGCAATGGTACTGAAAAATGTAGACAAATGCAAGATGCAGGTATGATATGAAATTATCAGGTCAATATAACATATCAGATCAATAGCTCAACACTTTAAGAAGATTTTTATAATACTTGATGTTAAATCTGTGGTTCCCATGAAAAAATATGTTGTGTGTCTTACAAAAAATAAAATACAGTCAGAGAACTCCAGCATCCACAAGAACATGGCTACAGCATGTATGGGGACTTGTCAGATCTATCAGAGGGCCAGGATACACCACCAAAGTCCAGCACCCCGAGTATGCAGCTGTGCCCCATCCTGTATGGAAGGGTCCTCCTATGACACTATTCTCCCCATCCACTTTCCAGGAGTTTTGGGGGGCTCTTTGTATTGGATAGAGTCCAGAGTGGGCAGTGGGGATCCTGTGAATTGTTGGGGAGCAGGGCTAAGAAGTCACACATTGTCCTGTGGAACATTCTAGAAAGGATAATGCAACCTCAGATGATATAACATATTTCATGAAACCCCCTACACATAGTAGGTGGAATAACCAGTCTGGCTTCTTTGAAGCCACGTTTCAGGAAAGCGAAGGGCCAGAGTGGAGGTAGAGGGTGTCCTAGGGACCCCTCCTCCAGGATCCACACTGAGCATGTGCTTCCATAGCTCATCCCACAGGGGATCAAATGCTGTTTCCCAGTGAAATAATCAGCAAACAATTCTGTGAGATATTTTAGTGATTTCTTCCCCCTAAGTTTTCTTCCATGAGTTTTACTGTGAGAACAAATGATCCAGCACACAGTTCTTTATTACTAGGGATATTTGCATTAAAGGGGGATTTTTTCCCTTCAGAAGTTAAATAGTGTCTCCTGCTTGTATCTCATTTGTTCACCTAGATCCTTGGTTTGTGGCTAGACTCAACCCTGCAAACAGTTATAAACAGAGGAATGTGTCAGTCAAATAATATAAATAGCAGCAATCAATAATCTCTTACAGAATGAACACATATTCAGGGTAATGCCTCTAGTAATGAGCATTTTACTGATATCATAGAATATGTGCAAATCCCAATATATTTAAAAAATAAAGTTATGCTCAAGTAACAAAGTCTAGCTCCAGACTTGAATGCATGTTCATAATGTCTCAAAGTTCCGGGTATTCCAGTTCAGGCTTTTGGTCCAGGCCAGCTTTAACAAACAGCAAATAGAAACGCAAAAAATCCCCAAACAATCCGGATAAATATTTTATCCAGGCCAAAAATATATATTTAAAAACAAAAGCAAACCAAAAACATCCAGTGAGGCTGGAGAACGGAACATATACTTTGTCACATATGATGTAAGATGGACAATTGGGAATAAACATCATAGAGGACAATTTGGCACATAATGCCCATATCTTGACAATGAGCTAATGAGCTGTGATTGATTCTGGGAATTACAGACCAATGAGAATTATCTCAGTACTAGAAAAATAGTTGAGAAAAATCATTGAAGTTAGGATTATGGAGTGACTCAAAGGTGCCCTCTTTCAGTGTAATCAAATATGAGATGCAGGAGAAGGCATTGATAGTTTAAGTTCATTTAGAATTTCAAAGTGCATTTGAGGAAAGAGCCTTTTGAGGAACTCTAGTAGCCACCAGAAGAAGTAAAGTCCCATCATGGATTAAAACTGGTTGTGTCCTCCCCTCCTCCACCACCCCACCCGGTACTTCCCTCCTCCACCACCCCTCCCGCGCTACCTTGGCAGTTATCCCCTATTTCTGTGACTAATTAATAAAAAATGCATGAATTTGAAACAACACTGACTTTATTGCCTCTGCAAGTGGTCATCGAAGGGGGAAGGGGAGGGCGGTTGGCTTACGGGGAAGTAGAGTGAACCAAGGGAGCAGGTTTTCATCAAAGAGAAACAAACAAAACTTTCACACCGTAGCTTGGCCAGTCATGAAACTGGTTTTCAAAGCTTCTCTGATGCGCAGCACACCCTGCTGTGCTCTTCTAACCACCCTGGTGTCGGGCTGCGTGTAATCAGCAGCCAGGCAATTAGCCTCAACCTTCCACCCCACCATAAACGTCTCCCCCTTACTCTCACAGATATTGTGGAGCACACAGCAAGCAGTAATAACAATGGGAATATTGGTTGGGCTGAGGTCTAACTGAGTCAGTAAACTGTGCCAGCGTGCTTTTAAACATCCAAATGCACATTCTACCACCATTCTGCACTTGCTCAGCCTATATTTGAACAGCTCCTGCCTACTGTCCAGGGTGCATGTGTATGGCTTCATGAGCCATGACATTAGGGGTAGGCTGGGTCCCCAAGGATAACTATAGGCATTTCAACATCCCCAGTGGTTATTTTCTGGTCTGGAAAGTAAGTCCCTTGCTGCAGCCATTCAGACAGACCAGAATTCCCGAAGATGCAAGCTTCATGTACCTTTCCCGGCCAGCCCACGTTGATGTTGGTGAAACGTCCCTTGTGATCCACCAGTGCTTGCAGCACCAAAGAAAAGTACCCCTTTCGGTTTATGTACTGGCTGCCTTGGTGCTCCAGTCCCAAGATAGGGATATGCATTCCGTCTATTGCCCCACCATAGTTAGGGAATTCCATTGCAGCAAAGCCATCCACTATGACCTGCACATTTCCCAGAGTCACGACCCTTGATAGCAGCAGCTCAGTGATTGCCCTGGCAACTTGGATCACAGCAGCCCCCACAGTAGATTTGCCTACTCCAAATTGATTCCCGATTGACCGGTAGCTGTCTGGCGTTGCAAGCTTCAGGGCTATCGCCACTCGCTTGTGAACGGTGAGGGCTGCTCTCATCTTGGTATTCTTGCACTTCAGGGCATGGGAAAGCAAGTCACAAAGTTCCATGAAAATGCCCTTATGCATGCAAAAGTTTTGCAGCCACTGGCCATCGTCCCAGACCTGCAACACTATGCAGTCCCACCAGTCTGTGTTTGTTTCCTGGGCCCAGAATCAGCGTTCCACGGCATGAACCTGCCCCATTATCACCATAATGTCCAAATTGCCAGGGCCCGTGCTTTGAGAGAAGTCTGCATCCATGTCCTCATCACTCTCGTCACCACGCTGCTGTCGCCTCCTCACCTGCTTTTGCAGGTTCTAGTGCTGCATATACTGCAGGATAATGCGCGAGGTGTTTACAGTGCTCAGAACTGCCATGATGATCTGAGCGGGCTCCATGCTTGCCGTGGTATGGCGTCTGCAGGAGAGCAGAGTGGCAGCGGAAGCGTGATGATGGTTTGCAGCCCTATTGTACCATCTGCTGCCAGCAGCACCCAGAACACAACAGCGGCGGCTGAGCTGAGCGGGCTGCACGCTTGCTGTGGTATGGGGTCTGCGCAGAAAAAAGGCACGAAACGATTGTCTGCCGTTGCTCTCACAGAGGGAGGGGTGATTGACGATATGTACCCAAAACCACCCGTGACAATGTTTTTGCCCCATCAGCCAGTGAGAGCGTAACCCAGAATTCCAATGGGTGGCGGAGACTGCGGGAACTGTGGGATAGCTACCCACAGTGCAATGCTCCGAAAGTCGGCACTAGCCTCGGTACTGTGGACGCACTCTGCTGATTTAATGCTACTTAATATGCTTAGTGGGGACACACACTATAGACTGTATAAAACTGCTTCCTAAAAATCAACTTCTATAAATTCAACCCAATTTCGTAGTGTAGACATACCCTAAGAGTAGTAAGAAAGTAAATAGACAATTTTAGGTAGATGCTCCAGGGAGCCACAAGAATGTAACATTTTTTGATGACATTTGGATTAGACTAGAGAAGGATCTGAGCAATTTCAAAAAGACCTAACCAAAATTAAATTATATTTGGGTAACTAGCAAATTAAATTCCAAGTGGACAAATAAAAGCCAACGAACTATGTAAGTGTAGGCACACCTGTCTGAGAAGCCTCTGAATCCTTTCACAGATATCCTGATTAGACAAACCTCTAGATACTGTATGCTGACTTTGAAGGATTGCAAGTCCCATGATGCACTCCCTAGATGCTCTCTGGGACTAGACAAAGCTTCCTGGGTCAGAGACTATTTCAGGGGGTCAGCAGCCTCCATTTTGTGAGTAAGGAACTGTCACAGACAGCTGCTTCTTCCCTTTGGACACATGACCAGGGCTAAGGCCTGGTCTACACTACGACTTTAATTCGGATTTAGCAGCGTTAAAGCGAATTAACCCTGCACCCATCCACACAACGAAGCCATTTAATTCGAAATAAAGGGCTCTTTAAATTGATTTCTGTACTCCACCCCGACGAGTGGAGTAGCGCCAAAATCGATTTTATCATTTAACCAATTAGGGTTAGTGTGGCCGCAATTCGATGGTATTGGCCTCCGGGAGCTATCCCACAGTGCACCATTGTGACCGCTCTGGACAGCAATCTGAACTTGGATGCACTGGCCAGGTAGACAGGAAAAGCCCCGCGAACATTTGAATTTCATTTCCTGTTTGCCCAGTGTGGAGAGCACAGGTGACCACAGATAGCTCATCAGCACAGGTAACCATGCAGGCCGATAATCGAAAAAAAGCACCAGCATGGACCGTACGGGAGGTACTGGATCTGATCGCTATATGGGGAGAGGATTCAGTGCTAGCAGAACTTCGTTCAAAAAGACGAAATGCAAAAACTTTTGAAAAAATCTCCAAGGGCATGATGGAGAGAGGGCACAATAGGGACTCAGATCAGTGCCGCGTGAAAGTCAAGGAGCTCAGACAAGCCTATCAAAAAACAAAGGAGGCAAACGGTCACTCCGGGTCAGAGCCGCGGACATGCCGCTTCTACGACGAGCTGCATGCAGTTCTAGGGGGGGCCGCCACCACTACCCCACCTCTGACCGTGGATTCCGAGGTGGGGATAATCTCATCAGCTACACCTGAGGATTCTGCGGACGGGGAAGAGGAGGAGGAGGAGGAGGACGAGCTTGCAGAGAGCACCCAGCACTCCGTTCTCCCCAACAGCCAGGAT